TTGTTTGAATCTTGAACTGTGGCCATGAGTGGCTATATTCAACCAACACATTACTGCTTCAATACACCAAATGACACAGTTTTAGACTGGTATTTTGTAATCACAATTATTGCACTTATATAAATAGCATGTTGTATAGAAACATTAGAATAATTTATAATATTAAGCACTGATTTTAGTTTTACAACAAAAATGTCGCTTGCCAAAGAAAATAAAAATGTGGGTGTTTTCACCCATTGTTAAGTTAAACAGAGTAACTGCATTTTGTTTAAGGATTGTTAGACTGAATTTAACTTCCAACTATCCTTAGATTAATAGGAAAATTCGAACTGACATTCCAAACATTTTTCTTACCCCAACTATGCTCTTATTCTTTCGGAAGTGAACAATAAAAAATATTGACAGAAGGACAGCATTGTAAAAGTACATTTATTAATGCTTGTCACTATGAATCTGATAATTTCTCACAACAAAAATACTGTCTTTTGGATTTTGCTGAATTTTTAAACATTTTATTATGACCTATAAATGTCAAATACTTGTTTTATGCTTTTGAACAAATGGATAAACTCCCGGAAGAGAGTAAAGTCCTTTTCAATACTGATCATTAAACTTTTGTTGGCATGTTCTTTTATTTCCTTCACTAACTTCTGATTATGTAAAGAAGTTTCAGAATGCAGCAATCACATCTTGTTTTCTACTGGTCTTTTACTCAAAATTTCCCAGAGAATTTGGAAGCTTACCAAATACTTTAAAGAATAGGGACAATGTAACATCCACATGCAAATTGCTTTAAATCTTCCCTGGAAAGAGACTCTTTTTTTCAATCTTCACTCTCTTACTAAGGCCACCCAGCTCTCTTTTCCACATTTTAGAGCAATTATCAGTAGAGGGAGACTTAATGTTTTTACTTTCCATCAGTATTATTACTATTACTATTTAATCTTTATTGTGTGTATATTATGAGCCAGTGAAATCTATTAAATGGTTTAATCTTCACAAGTCTATTATTACACTCTTTTTATTACTGAGGAAACAAGAGGGTTAATTTATTTGTTCAAGTCACATGCATAGTGTATACATGTTATATTTTGTTCACTCTTTATATACTGTGCTTTTAGTATTGTGTACTCAATGCCTTAAGCCAACCTTACAATTCTCAGCAGAGACACAGGCTTCCACTGTTTGTGTTTTGTCATTGAAAATCCAGCGCAATTCCGGGTCTGCAAGTGCCTGACAGGGAGAAATAGCAGTAAGAAATGATATTATTTGAGGAAGGTAGATGGTGAGGATTAGATTGAAAAAAAAAAAAAGCAAAACACAGGCCTGATGTGGTGGGTTTATGCCTGTAATCCCAGCACTTTGGGAGGCCAAGGTGGCTGGATCACAAGGTTAGGAGATAGAGATCATCCTGGCCAACATGGTGAAACCTTGTCTCTATTACAATATAAAAAATTAGCCGGGCATGGTGGTGCATGCCTGTAGTCCCAGCAACTCAGGAGGCTGAGGCAGGGGAATCGTTTGAACCTGGGAGGCAGAGATTGCAGTGAGCCTAGATTGCACCACTGCGCACCAGCCTAGTGACAGATCAAGACTCCCTCTCAAAAAAAAAAAAAAAAAAAAAAAAAATCAAAACACAACAACAAAAAAAAGTCAAGAAAACACCATACAAAAACAAACTGTGCTGTTTTAAAGAAAAATTTGTTTTCTTGGCATTTTGGTTTCATTTCTTGTATATTTTCACTGATAATCAGAAGACCACATTTCCCAAATTATCTAAGGAAGAGTTTTCTACAAGTTGTTTCTCCTAGTCAATTTCAATCAAAATTCACAGTTCTGAAAAAAATACAATTGCCCTACTGCTTTAGTATTTGGGGATTGGGAAGGAGTAAATTTAGAATAATATTTTAACCTAACAAAATAATTGATTCTAGCTTTAATAGGAGCTTTTAGAAACAACTTTTATAATCTCATAAACAAATATTTAGCTCTTTACTATACAGACTCTTTCTTCATTAATAAAAACAAATCAGCCATAATTTGGGGATAATGGACAAACCTATCAATCTACTGGGAAACTCTGACCATCAACCTTCAGTAATGATAGGGCTTCAAGGTTGACAGCAAAACGAACATCTTTTTATTTTGTGTCCCTGGTCAAGGAATTACATTGAAATGCTAGGAGTGTATCAAATTTCCTGTGAAAATGTTAAAAATATTTATCTCTTTTAAACTATTTTAGAGAAGTTTCACATGATGGATGATGTATCATACCCCAAATTCATAACCTGACAAGTTTATGCTTGCATCTAGTAAATTCAAAAAGAAATAAAGGCAGAATGACTAGAATTTTTCTTTTCAAATGATATCATCAATAATATCCGTTATAAAGCTTGCTTTTCTTTAGGTTAACTTTAGAGGCCTTGAGGAATAAGAGCTTATCTCCTTATACAGGAGCTTTGGTTTGCAGCATTTACTTCAGAAATATTTGGTGTTATGTATCTTTAAGAGTTAAACATAGAAGAATTGGCTAAGTGAAATGAAGAAATGCAATATCATTCTGCATATATCATTTATTATATATCACAGTATTAGTAGTTTTAAAAAGTTAAATATCTATTAGTCACTTGCAGGCTATAGAATCATAGTCAGTGCTGCATACTTCCATACTTCTATTTCCTTCCTAGTATTCATAAATGTGCCTTTGAAAACTTCTAAATTATAAGAAATAAAATATTTAATATATAATGTGTATTACTTCTGAGGGAAAACTTGAATTACTTGGGATTTTAAAGACTTTGTTAAAAATGCTGCATCATAGCATATTAAAGCAGAATAACAAATGCTAGACCTCAGGAATATTAATTCCAGATTTTACAGCATTTTAACTTTCTTGATGAGAAAAAATAAATTTATCAGTTATTAAACTATTTGGGATCCAACAGATGAAAGCACAATTCTAAAGAAGATATTTATCGATTTACTTATGATTTGCATATTTACATGTGTTAAGTCTGACACAATTCTTAATTATGTTCTTGATATGCATATATTTGCTTCTTAAATTTTAAATTTCCTTTATTTTACTTTGTTTATATTCTCAACTATAATTTCAGATTTTAAATGTTTTCCCATTATAATTTTTGGACCTCCAACTCTATTTTTACTGTAAATATAGTTCTGCATTTGTGAAGAGACTTTAGAAGTGAAAATGGAAATAGATACCTTCACAAATCTTAAAAAGACTTTTTCAGAGTCTGTAACAGTGTTACCATGTATACTTATCTCTTTCTTTTCATTGCCATGAATCATCACAAATGGCAGGCTCATTGTTGTGGCATGCTGAAATGATCGAGTGGGAACTGTGTCCAGCACTGAATTTAAAACAAAACAAAACAAAACAAAACAAAACCCTTCTCCAAACACACTGTCCTGTACTGTAATGCATTGGCCCAACTAGATTTTTTTTTTTTTGATGTTTTGGTGATTGCTCTTGTATTTGGTCTTGGAGAATTCAGAGCTATGAAATTCAGAGCTCAAATTTGAACACAATATTAAAATTATTGCAATCTATAGTGAATCTGTGCATGTTATCCAGAGTCGACTGCTTTTGAGATTGCATTCTGCACTTTCCTTTCACTTCAGGTATGTAATCAGGTTGTATAAGTGAAATGTTGTATTGTATGTTTACTGTAGTTGCTTAAAAGTCCCATTCTTTCCTGATTCTCAAGTGAGATTAAATTTGTTTTTCTTGTTAAAGGAAACAGCTTAGAACAAACCCATGTAAGGATCTTTATTTTCAATTATTTAACAGTTGGGAATGGAAAATGAAATACTATTATTTTCTCGAACAAAAGATAAATTTATGTAAATATGTCAGTTCCAAAGTTCAGATTATGGCAGCACAAAACCAACACGTGAAGGTTTTTGTCTAGCTTTATTACAATGGCATTCCCAGATAGAACTTGTGAATGACAGATGTTTCAGGCTTTAAAGGGAGCTAAAACATGTAATAGGCTTGATATATAAGGTTCAAAGCAAAGAGGGCATTAAATAAATTTTTAAAGAAAATAGGAAAAAGATAAAACTCAGTGCTACCTTGTCTTTTAATAACCGTCTTCCTCTTTCTAGAAGTTGTTGGATTTCCTCAATACTTGCTTAATTTCTGCATGACAAGGGTTTCTAAGTGGCCCATTTGCCGGAAGGTGGCGACATAAACCCTCATTGCTTAGAGCTGTCCCAGGTGCTGAACTCAGTTTCTGTGGTTAAGAGAGGCTAGGCGGCTGGAGAAAAGGGATTCCGCCAAGTTTCCCCCAGAGGTTTGCAGGCTCTGGTAAGAAGTGCAAAAGGCTATATAAAATGCCAGACTTCACTCAGAACACATATGCAAAATATTTCCATCTCTGAATTTACTAGCCACAAAGCTGTATTCCCATAGCTATGTTCCCATGGTGTCACTGAAACTGAAACTGTAGTAGTGATGGAAAAGTGTGTGTGTGTGTGTGTGTGTGTGTGTGTTTAGAATACATATCACATTGAGTTTTGTTCTTTATTTAGAGATGCATTTGTTTACCTCTCCTTGTCCCTTGTCCTTTGTCACGTCCTTTATAATTTCGTTCTCTCCCAGTTCCCCAAGGTTAGAAAAAAAAAAAGTCACAGGCAATATCCTCCTGAGGGAGTCAGGCTGGACTGTTAGATGATAAACGGAGGTAGTTTTTTGTTTGTTTGTTTGTTTGAGACAGAGTCTCGCTCTGTCGCCCAGGCTGGAGTGCAGTGGCACGAGAACGGATGTAGCTTTTTAAAAACGAAGACACACGCTGTCTTCTTCCATCGATTAGCAATAATTGAGAGACTGACCCAGGACTGTTCACCTTCCCATTCAGGTTCCCTGTGCTTCCTTTTCTCATCTCCTGTTGCTGAGAGAGATGCTGACACTGGGCTGCTGACACTATTTAAGAATTTGACTGATAATATGTGGCAATGAGTAGTTAGAATTGCCTCTTCTAAATACCCCCTCCCCAGTTTGGGTTGGAGGCGGAGTTTATTTGTTACAGCCTTGGTCTGACTGACAGGGATCCGGTGTGTGTTAAGTGAGTTCTGAGTCTCTTTTGACAGAAAGGGACTCGAATGCAAAGACGCAGAGCTAGAGGTATAGGAGGGCGGGGACCCAGAGAAAAGAGGCACTCCTCGGGGTTGGGGAAGTGTTAGGAGGGGAGGGTTAGAGTGGGAGGGAGGGAGCCTGGCTTTCGAAGCGACTCACAGGGGGATAAATAATGGGGAGTGAGGAGGAAGAGGCAGACTGAAAGGGAAGGCAAATGGGGAGAAGGGGGAAGAAAGAGGCTGAAGAGAGAGGAGGAGGGAGGAGGAGAGGGGGAGAAGGGAAAGGAAGGAAACTGGGAGAGGAGGGTCACTCAGTGACCGTGGAGGATGGGGCTTCTCGGCTCTAGATATTTCTGGGATTGGAGACTGTTTACTCGTGGGGAGACTCCAGCTCCGGCGGCCAGTTGGGAAGCGGCAAAGTAAAATGGACAGCGACAGACAGACGTTCCAGCCACCTCTCCGCCGCGGAGAGATCCCGGAGCTGCTTTCGGTCCAACTCCAGTTTCCCAGCTGGAGCCTCTGAACACGCTGGACTACAGGAGCCCAGGGAGAGCCTGAAAGCTGCTCCTCGGAGATACCTTCGCCGGAGCAGTAAGAACTTCCTGCTTGGGTCCCTGCATTCCCTTCTTCCGAAACTTCCTGGGAGACGGGGCTGAAGACCCCAGGGGAAGGGGCGAAGGGGATCTTCGCGTTGCTTTTTCTTCCGTCCGCTTTCCCGCGCGGGGCGCACAGGCATGGATGTGCTCAGCCTTGGTCAGAGCAACAACACCACATCATCCCCGGGTCCCTTTGAGACCAGCGGCAACGCTACTGGTATCTCCGACGTGACCTTCGGCTACCAAGTGATCACCTCTCTGCTGCTGGGCACGCTCATCTTCTGCGCGGTGCTAGGCAATGCGTGCGTGGTGGCTGCCATTGCCCTGGAGCGCTCCCTGCAGAACGTGGCCAATTATCTTATTGGCTCTTTGGCGGTCACCGACCTCATGGTGTCGGTGTTGGTGCTGCCCATGGCCGCGCTGTATCAGGTGCTAAACAAGTGGACTCTGGGCCAGGTCACCTGCGACCTGTTCATCGCCCTCGACGTGCTGTGCTGTACCTCATCCATCCTGCACCTGTGCGCCATCGCGCTGGACAGGTACTGGGCCATCACTGACCCCATCGACTACGTGAACAAGAGGACGCCCCGGCGCGCTGCTGCGCTCATCTCGCTCACTTGGCTTATTGGCTTCCTCATCTCCATCCCGCCCATGCTGGGCTGGCGCACCCCGGAAGACCGCTCGGACCCCGACGCATGCACCATTAGCAAGGACCACGGCTACACTATCTACTCCACCTTCGGCGCTTTCTACATCCCGCTGCTGCTCATGCTGGTTCTCTATGGGCGCATATTCCGAGCTGCGCGCTTCCGCATCCGCAAGACAGTGAAAAAGGTGGAGAAGACCGGAGCGGACACCCGCCGTGGAGCATCTCCGGTCCCGCAGCCCAAGAAGAGCGTGAATGGAGAGTCGGGGAGCAGGAACTGGAGGCTGAGCGTGGAGAGCAAGGCAGAGGGTGCTCTGTGCGCCAATGGCGCGGTGAGGCAAGGTGACGACGGCGCCGCCCTGGAGGTGATCGAGGTGCACCGAGTGGGCAACTCCAAAGAGCACTTGCCTCTGCCCAGCGAGGCTGGTGCTACCCCCTGTGCTCCCACCTCTTTCGAGAGGAAAAATGAGCGCAACGCCGAGGCGAAACGCAAGATGGCCCTGGCCCGAGAGAGGAAGACAGTGAAGACGCTGGGCATCATCATGGGTACTTTCATCCTCTGCTGGCTGCCCTTCTTCATCGTGGCTCTTGTTCTGCCTTTCTGTGAGAGCAGTTGCCACATGCCCACCCTGTTGGGTGCCATAATTAATTGGCTGGGCTACTCCAACTCTCTGCTTAACCCCGTCATTTACGCATACTTCAACAAGGACTTTCAAAACGCGTTTAAGAAGATCATTAAATGTAAGTTCTGCCGCCAGTGATGATGGAGGAGTAACCGGCCAGTGGGGGACTACAGGATCCGCCCCATTCAGTATGCTTTACCCAACCCTAGAGAGTCAACACCTAAGATAACTTGCTACTTCTCTTTCTCAGCTACTCTGCCCGCGGCTTGCGGACCTGGTCCCCTCCCCATTTCCCGCACCAGGGCAGGGCGCTTTGTGCAAAGGAGACACAGCGACGGGGCGTGAGAGACCAGGAAATTCAGAGAGTTTGTGAGAAGCGACATTGGCCCAGACTTTGCCCTTAACATCAGTTTTGATCTCAGCAATTGCCTCTTTTCTCCTCTGTCCCCTAAATCTTTGCGATGGATGTTTAATCCTTAGCTGTTCAAGGTAGAAAATCCAAAAAATAAAAAAAAAAATTAATAAACTGTACACACAGCCGCCGCGCCCACTAGGGGCTCCACCCGATCACCCATCTCCTAGAACTTGGACTTCAGGTTCGGGAATTTCCTCCATCTCTCTAGCCCTCTGGCCCTTGAAATATTCACTTTTTTCTCCCCGTTTTTATCCTTTCTTTTCTTTCATTGCTTCCTTCTCTGCCTTCGCCCGTCCTGATGCACCGTCCTAATCTGCTGGTCCGCAGAGGCGGAAGTCTGCTTTTCTCTGTGCCAGCGGTGCCCCCGGGATTCCCGTCTTGAGGTGAACTGTTGTGCAGTGCACAACCCCTGCTTCCTTTGTTTCCTTGGAATCAAAACGAGCGGCTACAAGGTATCTCTTAGAGTGGACTTGTAAGTACAGCCCGGGCCAGTGGGGAAGAGCGAGGAGGAGGAGAGTGTGCAGACCATTTTGTCTGTTCTTGCCTTGGTGTCAGCACTCACCAAAGAAACTGACAGTCGTACAGTGAAGAGAGCGGACTGCGGTTTGCACAGGTAGCTGGCTAGTCTGCAGGTCCTGGCATCGCCACTTACATACTGCGGGAGGCGCCCGCTGGCCGCTGTTTGCGCGCTGGGGACGCTCAGAGGCCTGGGATCTGCGCGCCTCGCCAGCCATCTGTGATGTGGCAGCGCGCTAGGCGCGCCGGGCTGCTGACTTAGCGGGTTTGGGATCCTCCGCCTACGCTCTGGGGCGCCCTGAAGCGCGGGTAGACACATTAGGTTTTTTTCCTTAGCTGTCGGCGCAAGGTCCTTCGAAACTCTTGGGATTGGAGAGATCAAGAAGGCTTTAAGGGGCGGTGTGGAGGGGCGGCAAAGAGGAAAGTTTCCCCAGGGCACGCGTGGCGGAAGCTACAGCTGGCTCCCCCAGTAAAACCTGAAAGGACAAATTTATCCTTACGATGTAGACTTTTTCCTCCTAATTCACGCTCTTGTCCTTTTTGGATCAGGGAATAATTCTGTTTAGCGCGTCCCAAAACTCACTGCATTTGTTCCACAGTACATCCAGAACACAAAGTTAGCAGAACTTTTTTTCCAAACAGAAATTCAGGACTTTCAGTGGAATGCCCAAATAGTCCATAGATTAGCACTACCTGTGACAGCAGGCGGATAGCTTAAATAGCAGGGCCCTAAAGGATTAGTTAGGAGGTGGCCTTCCTGGGGAGGCTAAGAATCTTTTATGGGAGGAGTATTTGCTTCCTGGCATGACCATTCTGCTGTGCCAACGGTCTACGGAAACCACTTTTTTGCCCTTTGAATTGTGCAGCGCCCCAGGCTTTCTCTCCGTCAGCTATTCTTTAAGCCTTGCCACTCCTGCCCAGAAACTGCTTAAAATCTTTGCTGTCCCAGAAAGGGAACTTATTTAGCTACCCTGTTTGGATGTAAATTTCCAGTTACACGACGGAGATCTAGAGGTTTGTCATTGTTTGACCTAGCCTGTAATTTTCTTATGAATAGTGGTTTTGTTTTCCAGAAATTGCACAAAGTAATTGATCCCTACTCCTCTTTCCCTTCAACTGTACCTTTCGAATGTTTGAATTTGCTGTTTTGAGAACCATGTTACATTTATAGATTGCAAAAATTGCCAGTGAAAAGATCACTTGTTTATAACTGCGAAGGTGAAAGGACAGCTCGGTCACTTAAAGCCATTTTATTGTTTGTTAGACTAAACAAAGCCTTCCTTTGCTGTCTCTTTCTGTATTCTAAACTGGAAGTAGATATCATATCCCAGCTAAATAGGGAAAGTTTTAGAACTTTGGGAATAGTTTGTCTATGTATGTATAATGCTGAGAAGAGTCTGCAGTGAAGAAGATAAGATAGATTTCTGCAGTACAACTGTTACTCATTTGAAAATTCAGTTTTGTTTTTGCTCACATAATCTCAGTAGAGCTATATCAGAAACCAAGTTTTTCTGCATGTTATACTAAATTTTTAGAACAAAATCCATATTTGAAATAATCCAAACCCCAAATTTGCTCATCTAAATTATGTCTTGGCCAGCAAGTATTACATTAAAAGTTTGGAGACTTCCATTTATTTGTGTCTTTTACAGAATTGTGTGACAGTCATTTTTTGGACGTTTGCTTTTTCTGCTTTGGAAGATTTATACAAGAATGGAGAATGAATATCCAACTGGAGCACAATTGTCAAGGCAATAGAGAATTTAGAGAAATAAAATAGCTGCATATCTCTAAAGAGTGCCTGATGCTTTCTTTCTCTTTAAAATATTTGTTCGAAGGTAAAGTACTGATGCATCAAAATTGGCCTTCACGTTTCCTTGTGACAATAAAATAATAATGGTAATGCTACAATAAACTGGTTTCAGTAACACATGCATCTTTATTTCAATCAAAATCTGTATCTATTTGTATTTATTTGCATAATTTAAAATTAAAATTAAAATACATTTATTAAAAGGAGACCTTTCTGTACAGGTCAGGGATCTGACAGAGAAATAAGTGTAGTTTTCAACAGTAAAACTGATTCTAGATGGGTGATTTCTTTTTAACAAATTCTGTCTCTGTAAAAAGAAATTCACATATCATTTAGGCATAAAGCTGTGCATTTTCCATGACTGGCACCTTCAGGTAACATATAAATTTCTGTCTAATTAACATGGACAGAACGGAACATATATGGAGGGGAACTGTGGTCTTTGGGGAAAACAACAAGGTCCAACCTGCTTTTTTAAAACAGTGGATGGTGCTAAAATCCTTCCTCTGTCTTTCCTGCAACATTCAGCTGGAAGAAAATGACCTCCCCTGCATTCAAAAGGAACAACTGTTTTGGAGTTTGTCACTCAATTAAAAGTAGAGGGGTATTTTATTTTCTGGCTGGGTCTTCTTCCATAGTAGGCTTTTGTATATAAGGTGCATTACTATGTTAAAATTAATTATCATGCTCTATTCTTTCCCTACTAGAGTGGTCAGGAACACCTGTTGTTGCTATTGTTATATTTATTCATTCTGTTGCTTTCTGGTGTCAGAATGATGACTGCAGGGCAAAGTGACCATGGGTAAACCCCAAGAGTAAGCAAAGGTCAGGGTCATTATTGCCAGGGCAGAGAGCACTCTGAAGCTCATGAAGCTTGGTTCAGGTGATGTATATCCATACACATATGATCCCAATAGTGAAAAATAGAATCAGGTGGCTGTCATCTGTAAACCAACACTTTTTGAGGCCTAGAGGAGGCAGGAAGATGGCTTGAGGCCAGGAGTTCAGGGTTATGGTGACCTATGATCACGCCATGGCACTCTAGCTTGGGTGACAGAGTGAGACTCTATCTCCAAAAAAGAAAAAAAAAAGTAAAATTAGAAGAATTGATGGAATAAGGAATATCTGAAGTTTGTCATTTGAAAAATGTTATATTTATATAACATAATTATATAATTTATCCCTGACATTGAGTAAAATGCTAAATTGGACATATGTGTCATTTGGATTTTGAATATTACTGTTGTCGACGCTTGCTCCCTCCTCTGGCATCTCTTCCTCCCGGGACAATGGCTTTCTGTTTTCTATAGGCCTTCTTGTGAGCTCTGTCAACACCTCAACTAAGAGAGGGAATTATTGGTTATCAGTCACTTCCAATGTGACTATGAAGCCCCACTAACCCATTTTCAGTGATTATGTATCAGCTACTGCTTAATAATATTGAAATATAAAACTATGAATTAATACAGGATGCTGTTGTCACCTTGAAGTTTTCAACCATTCTGAACCTATAAGAATACACTACTAAGGCCAAATAACTACTCATGGCAGGGTCAGAGTGTCATATAAACAGGATGAATCACAGTAGTTTGGCTCTATAAGAATTCAGAGGACAAAACTCACTGTGGGCTGGTAGTGGGAAGGGAAGAGTAGGTAGAGAAAACTGTATAGAGTATGTAGGACTGAGCTCTGGACTGATGGCAGGTGGTATGAAAGGCCTTAAGAGGTGACAGAAAACAACCTAATACCTTCTTCCTGGCAAGTGGGGGCCTAGTATGAAATTTCTGTCTGATGGCTGGATGTCAATTAAATAACTGGGTTGATTATGCAAATGGTGATCCTTTAGAAAGATACAGACTCAAAACCTCCCAAGTGCTGTGTTAACCTGAAAGGGTCTGGGAAGACAGAGGAAAATATGGGTCTAAAGCCCAAGGAATGGGGGTCTGGGGTAACTAGATGAGAAGAAGAATGTTTTGAGCAGAGTAAGGAGGACAGCATAAGAATGAAGAGAGAATCATTAACCATTAAAGGGTTGCAACAAGGTGGCCAGGGGGTGGTACAAGGCAAAATGTACTGCAGCATTCAGCTGGAAGAAACATACTTATGTAATGTTTGTGATTTTGCCAAGTGGTTTTGACACATAATGTGCCATTTAAATATGAAGTAGCAGATCCTGTTAGAAATGCCAATTAGAACATTTTAGCTAAAGCAGAAGGTTCACAGAGTAGTGGTAAGTACAGACAAAGGAGCTAGAGATTGTCTATGGCAGTACTTATGCGAAGTTAAAAAGCTGGAACTATAGTTTTAGTCAGTGGAGACCACTAATAACAAAAGCAGATGTGTTCTCTTTGCAGTGATTTCAATGAGGTAGGTGTGAAGCAATAAAGACCTGAATGTGAGAAGCTGGCAGAAGGAATGGAAAACAAATAAGACGATGAAAAATACATAAAAGAAGGAACTGGCAGGACTTGGTGTCTGGATGTGAAGAGAGAGAGAGTAGAAGATGCTGTTGAGGTTTTGAGCTAGGGAGATTTGGGCAAATGACAGAAAAGGAAAGTCAGGGATTGCTTTTACTGTGGGTCTTTCTTTTTGGAGCTTCATCTGTTAATGTGAAAAGGCTTTGTCCTCTACTAAAAGAATTCCCAACCCAGATGGCAGGGGCCTGCTGGAAAAGGTATTAATACATATCACAGCATTAGAACAATCTGCAATTTGGATGCGTATATGAGGAATACTACTACATAAATTAATGATTGGATTAATTCCCTGATTAATATTAATTTCTTTTTTAGTAGGAGATGTAAATTGTTTTTTGGAGAGGGAACAATCCTAAAAGACAACAGCCTTTCATGAAGAGCAACCCAAAAATACTGTGTTAAGTAGTGTATTCAGAATGGTACATGAAGCCTAAAGGTTGTAACTTTCCAGTTCAGTAAATGCAGAGCAGAACAAATCTGTTTTGCTCTTTGAGTTCACTTATTAAGATCCATAAAAGACCTATTTGATCCTTATATTACTAGAAAACCTAGATCCATTAGTAATTTAGTCTGTTCAGGCTGCTATAACAAAATACCATAAATTGAGTAGTTTACAGACAACAGAAATTTATTTCTGATAGTAATAGAGGCTGGGAAGTCCAATATTAAGGCCCCAGCAGGTTTGCTGTCTGGTGAGGGACTGCTAACTGGGTCATAGATGGCTCTCTTTTCTCTGTAACCTCACATGGCAAGAGGGACGCAGGACCTCTCTGAAGCCTCTTTTATGAGAACATGAATCTCATTCATGAAGGCTCTTTCCTCATGACCTAATCACCTCCCAAATACTGCACCTACTAATACTATTGCATTGGCGATTAGGTTTTAATATGTGCATTTTAGGGGGACACAAACTTTCAAACCATAGCAGTGAGGCGAACATAACCAGTGAATTTCTTTTATATTTCAATCTATTTTGCTTATGTGGCAATGGCAAGAATAGGGAAATGAGTAGAATCCACTGACATTTCCATATCTGACCACACCCCAGGCATCATAATGCTAACTGTCTATAACCTTGTGCAATAGCCCAGCCTTTCAGGAAGTTTTCCAGGCCACCAATTCAAGGAGCTGTTTTGTATTAGAAAGTGTTTGTTCTGTTGTGTCTAAGCTAGTTTCATCTTTGAAGAAATGAAAGGGAAAAAGCTGGCTGGGGGAAGAAGGGAGAGGAAAAGGCAGGGGAGATAATGGGACATACTTATCCTGTTATATTGCTGTGGAGATTGATGAGAAAGTGTTTTGAAACTCCTCCAAGATTCTTGGAGAGGAAGCATCCTATGAAATACAGTGTGCTTCATAGTCTCTGGGAACAATTAGTCTGACTTTGCAAAAACTAAAGAAATTAGAAATCAAATGATGAAAGCTGATTTTAACTTTAAGAGAATAGTTGATACAGGACTTCAATTGCAAATATTCACCAAAAATATAGCTTATTATAAGCATCTATTGTATTTTAAGTATTTACTGCAGAGAAGGAGCAATTTATGGGAGAGGCTCTGGCTCAGGAGTAATGGGCATAAAATTCATTTGTTCATTCAACTAAGATTTCTGGAGTACTGATGGACCAGGGACTATTTTACATACTGAGGATACAGTAGTGAAAAAACTTGGTAAACTCTTTTGGCAGATTGTTTGCAAAAATGGCCACCATTATTTTTCTCTGTGTTCACCTCTTTTGCAATGTAATTGAAAATTGCTAAGAGAATAGATTTTAAGTGTTCCCAACACACAAAAAAATGATAAGTATGTGAAGTAATGAATATGTTTTAAAAAGATATGGAGGCTATTTTCTTATACCTTGAATCTAAGCTAGCCTTATGCCTTGCTTTAATGAATACAATGGGGCAGCATTGCTGTGGTACCAGTTCTGATCATGGAACTCAAGAGGGTCCGTCCTCTTCCACTTGCTTCCTTGTCACCCTGCCCAACTGTTATGTGAACAGTCCTGTGCTCACTTGCTGGAGATGAAGAGACCAGATGGAGCAGAGTTATCCCAGCTGGAGTCATCCCAGCTGAGGCCATTCTGGATCAGCTAGAGCCTGATTGACTTGGCAGCTGACTGCAGACATAAGAGTGAGGGCAGCCTAGACCAGAAGAACCTCTCAGCTTCATTCAGCCTAAATTATCAAAGCACAGACTTTTGAACTAAATGAATGATTGTTACTTTAAGGCACTAAAGTTTTAGATAATTTATTATACTGGAAAAACTAACTAATATAGTCTCAGATCTTAAGGAATTTACAGTAGAGAGAACAGAGAAAAGAGGCAACAATAACAAAATCATATACATATGTAGTACATAAGATGGCAATCTGGAAAATAAAACAAGCTAAAGTAAGATGTATAGGGAATGCTAAGGTGAAGGGGAAGAATGTTGCTTTTTTTTTTTTTTTTTGGTGTTTAGGTGACAGCTCAGTGATAAAGTGACATTTGGATAGTGGCCTCGAAAGACTTATCAGAGGTTTGTGTTTGGAGATTGGTTAAAATGAGGCCTCAGATAAAGACATCTTGAGAAATCGTAGGCAATTTACTGTGAAACTACAAAGGATGTATTTCCAACAAAGGAAATGCCAGGAAATTGCAGATTTGGAAATTTGTGCACTCAAATTCTAGGGCCTTCCTACTTCCTATCTGGAGACCTATTAGGTTGAAGGTATTAATATTCAACTTGTTCAGGATAAGACTCAGCCAGCTAATGGGAAACCCCAAGTGGGATCTTCCAAATCATAGGTATTGCTATGACCCTGAAACTCTGGG